TATTTATGTAAAATTGATTGTATCTCTGTAAGTACTGATCGATTTTCTTCCAAATTTCGATATGTTGTAGCTACATGTAAGACAATTGTCTACAACCTTAGTCTTCACCATTTTTCATTTTGATCACGTCATCATAGTTAAAATTACGATTAAAGGGCACATATCAGAAATTTCTTAAGTTGCGTGTTATGCCTAAGGAAGGTGAATTTCTTTCACATCATTAATCTATATGACATTGTTTTTTAGCAGTATCTCGCTTATTTTTGCTCTATTTTGTGTCAAATTTTAGTTGACCAGCCCACCTATACTTGTTCCAAACAAGTATTATATGTCTAGTTGTTATTATTTGTTATGCTATGACTTATAAATGAGAAGGATTAGCCCCCATTCATGTCTGTTGTGTCAATGTTGCATCAGTATATGTATTCAACTGTAATGACATAGTTCTTATCATTGGTTCAGTTTGAAGATTTCCTGACATGTGCAGTTTTAAATGTTATTGAATGGCTCAGATTCTATAATAGATAAAGTGATGATGATATTTTTTATTGGAAGAGATCTATCTTGGAAGCAAAAGCTTGGTACCCTGATACATGTATATTTGAAAAGGGAAAGATCCTTGTATTCAAATACATGTTCATCGTGGAAACATTAATCCATTCTGGAATATAGACGTACATGCTCATACATGTACGTTTACAGTACATGTATACCGTAATTCTTTGTGTACCCCTATTTGGGGCCGAAGAAGAAAAAAAGAAGAAAAAAACCCACGTGAGAAAGGACCTTCATTTTACTGCGAGGTGCAGTTGGAGGCGCCAAATTTTTGCTTGTGAACTTTTCACAAATAAGTTATCAGAATAATGAACTTGTCATAATTAATAGTAACAATGAAGTTATCAGAATAATGAACTTGTCATAATTAATAGTAACAATAAAGTTATCAGAATAATGAACTTGTCACAAATAACAGTTACAATGAAGTTATCACAATAATGAACATTTAGTATCTGCTTTGGTAAGCTTTCGCTTGCTGCAAGTTTCCTCAGAACTTTGCATTAGCTTGTTGAACTGCATCAGCTGCAACAAAGTTTGGAAGGTCTCCAAGTATTATGGGAGTACCAATAGGAAAACAGAGACAACAAAGGGAAGAGGAAGAAAGTGAGCGGATTGAGTTAAATTAAGATAGAAATGGGAAGGAGAGGGGAGAGAATAAGAAAGAAGAGAGCAGGGCAGAGAGGGAGGGAGAGAGAGAGAGAGAAAGAAAGAAAAAGATAGGGGGAGTGAGGCAGAGGGAGAGAGAGGATGGGAGAGGAGAGAGAAATAGTAACAGATGGAGACATGCAGAGATGGCAATGGACAGACAAGTAATCTGAGACTACACATACACGCACATAGAGAAAACATATTGGTAAAGAGAGAAAGGGACACATGTACCAGAAATATGGTAACATTTGCAGGGGGGGGGGGGGAGGGGGAGGGGGTAAAAATTGGTCATTATAAGCTCTCGAGAGTCATCAAAATAAGGCCTTTAACTTTTTTACTCTTTGGGCTGATATTGCTCAGTTTTGAATGCTTAAATACAGGTACATATTATTTTATTAATTAAAAAAAAAATTCTCTAAAAAACAGGCCTGATAAAACCCGATTCCAATCGGTTTCCTGTTTTTCTATATATGTTTTTTTTTTACCAGATTTTTTTGTCTTCCCTATTTTGCCCTATTTTTTTCCCAATTTTCTTACTCCAAAATAGGGAATGTTGTTAGATGCCATTTTTTTCCCCGCGAATCCTCTCCTTTTTTTTTTTACTCAAGGGGGGCGTGGTTGAGGGAAAACAAAAATATTTTTTTTTTTTAGTGCTCACCATCACCCCTGAAAAAACAGAAGTAAAAAAACTTTTAAAAAAAGCTGACCGTAAATGTAATAATAACCAATTGATATAGCGCAGCTTTTATACAAAATATATTCAGCTGCGCTGGTTCAGAGCTCCTTTTTTTTTTACTAAATTCTACAAAATATAATCTCTCAATTGAACAAATATGTTTTTAATTTGGATTTGGAGACGTTAAGAGATGGAGTGCTTCCTATTTCTATTGGCAAGCTATTCCGTAGTTTGGGGACAGCAATAGCAAAAGCACGGTCCCCAAGAGTTACTTTGCCATGGAGAATCTGGAACAATAATTTATCTGTGGAACTGCGCAGGCTACGACTGTGTGACTGGACTTTGAGTTGAAGTGATTCTGTTATGTAACCAGGAGCTTGACCACTCAATGATTTATAAACAATTAACAACATTTTGAATGAAACTCTTTGATGGACTGGCAACCAGTGGAGCTCTCTCAGAAGAGGTGCGACGATAGACAAGTCTTGCATACCGGTATGCATTTTGGACTCTTTGTAACTTAGCTATCAGAGAATCAGGCATTCCAAACAGCAACCCATTACAATAATCAAGCTTACTTATGATGAGAGCATTTAAAACCAATTTCATACTTTCTTGATCAAAATATTTGCGGATACATCTGAGATTGTACAGAAAAAAGTATGTTGATTTGCATATATTTCTAACATGTGTTTCCATGTTCAAATAGTATCAAAGTATACTCCTAAATTCCTTGCTGCAAAAGAGTGTCTCAAATTGGAGGATCCAACATTTACACCGTCAATGCTTATTTTTGAGATCTGTTGTGAAGTTCCTATAACCAAAAATTCACTCTTACTATCGTTTAGCTTAAGATTATTATTAAGCGTCCATCTATGAATGGAATTAACACACTTTACCAACATTGAAACACTTGCATCTTGAGTACAAGTGGATGGTCAAAAGGATCAAAATAATTGTGTGTCGTCTGCATAGCAGTGACAGGGGACTTCAGGAAAATTATCCTGAGTGCTCTTGATTAGATGACTTGTGTACAACATAAACCGCAAAGGGAGAGAGCCCTGTGGCACACCAAAGGGCACCTGGAAAGAGTCGGAGACAATTTCATCAACTTTAACTTTTTAATGTTGATCAGACAAGTATGACTTGATCCAGCCGAGAGCAATACCATCGATACTGCAACATATCTTCAAAATATCTAGTAATCTGGAAGGCTCAATAGTGTCAAAGATTTCAAGACTTTTGGGTCGATCCCAAAGGGCAAAACAAATCAAGTTTTTCATTTCGGGGGCTCCATTTCAAATTTTTTGGAAATTTTCGGGGGCTACTATTTCAACTTTTGGGGGCTTTTTTTCCATTTCGGGGGGACGGGGCTCTTTTTTCTGGGGCTACTTTTTCATTAATTCATAAAAGGATAGGCCTACAGTTTGTCGAGATTTGTTTAGTAGGCTAAGGTTTCAGGTTTCCTGCTTCATAATTGCCTATTAAAAAAGAAACCCCTTTTTCTAGTTCAATAACTAAGTTTTCATGCATTGATTTGATGCAAGAACAAGATCCTAGATTGTGATTATTTCTGGCCATGAATTTCGATAATCATTTTTCAAAGTAAAATTTTCACAAGAAAATCAGACAGTTGTTTAAAAACGTATACATTAGTAATACTTTTACTAATTCTAAGCTCAGGTTTCGTACACCTATTCACAAAACTATATTGAAATCGCGGCAATAATGATGCAAACCAACAGATAGCAATTTCAAAGTGTCTAATCTCTTCGACTCCAGCTTAGGTAGCTAGCTCAGCTCAGCTCAACTCACACACACTGCAGCAGCACTGCACTGTATTGTATGTGTGTCAGTCACAGTGATTTTGTCTGATTTTCTTTACTTTGAAGAAATGATTATCAAAATTTTGAAACATGGCGAGAATGATCACAAAATAGGCTTTAATTTCAAACCTCTATTCATGGAAACTTTATAAAATTGCGGCAATTGTGATGGAAATTGATTGCAGTTTTGCGATGTTTAGTGGTCTAGGTTCAGCTAATATGATCTACCAAACAAAATCGACCGCCAAAAACTCGACCCCTACGCTCCGTCTCGATCTCGCAACTGCGAAAATGTATGTGTTTTGGCGTACTTGCGTGCGACATGGTAAACCAGGTAAGGTATAGAATATGGTTCTAGTTTTTTACGACAGATTTTTTGTGTATACAATTTTACACAGAGATTCAGCGACCAAGAAATGCACACAATGAATACGAAGCTAGAAGAGAGCGCGCGGCCACTCGTTATCAGATTTTGGGCCTATTTCGGGGGCTGTTTATGGTGTTTCCGGGGCGAATCGGCCCTCCGCCCACGTGTATTTTTTTGGCTGCTTGGGATTTGATATTGGTATGACCTTTTAAGAGAAGGTTGGTTTCTGGATGAGAAATGAGCTTATCAGTTTGAAAGAATATCATAGTAGAAATATTGGAATGGCCCATGAAAAGGATTGCTCTTCAGATACAAAATTAAAGCCTCAGTCACAAATGCCATTACGAACGGCTGCGGACGCTGTACGAACGATTTTCAGACCATGAAAATTCGGGAAGACCATGGAAAAACGGAGATTCGTACGAACCTTCGTGACCGTAGCTTTAATAGCTGTACAGTTTGGACCTACTTTCATGCCACATGTGTGTTTGTATTCCTGTGTGCGCAGCATGTGATATTTAGAAAAATCAAATGAATTCTTTTTCATTTTGATAATCATGAAACCTCACAGTATATGTTTGATTTCTCTCATCTTCTTTCCTCATATAGCAAAGCTGAAATCTTGAGGCGTATGAACCGGGAGGCAGTGTCTGACATGGAATATGGCTTTGGCCATCTGGTCATTTCTTTCCTCCTTTTACCCATTGACGTATATGTACATGTATGACCCTTAACCTTTCTTTCACCTTCTTTTGTCCCATAGTTCAGGCTGTGGTCTTGATGTGGGCTTGATGTGCATGAACCAGAGGCAATAGCATCTCCATGTTCGTTGAATATTTCCCTTGCCATCTGCTTTCCAGGAATTGCCTTCCTTCATTATCAGTTATAACAATATTAACCCCTGTCCTCTCTTTTCCTCCTTTAGCAAAGCTGAGGTCCTGAGGCACATGAACCGGGAAGCAGTGTCCGACACGGAACATTACCTGGGTCATCCTGTGAATGCTTTCCTCCTGGTCAAACGGTTCCTTTGGGAATGGGTGGACCTGGAGAACTGGATCAAGTATGATGGACCAAAGACAGGTAGGTCATCTTAAATTAAGGAGGGGCCTTAGAGCAAATTTTTCCAAAAAAAAAAATCAATGAGAATCATTTCAAAGCATAACATTTGCATTTTTATGTCTTCTCCAGCTTTTGTCCAACATGGATCCCATTGCATTTTATTGAGACACTGAACCTCAATACACTACATGTTTGCTACCACAATGTCCCCCCTCTGACATTGATTAGTCCACTTTGTGCCAGTTAAGAGACTAATTAGTAGTTTATGCACCTGCCACATCCCTAAAAAAATTCCTTCTGAGAGGTAAAAAGAAGGGACTTTTGGTTGGTCATAGAAACTACGACATGTTCCATCATTTAGTTCAAGCTAATGTTCACATCACTTTTCAGAGACTAGAGGAACAGTACCCAGTTCAAGGAGCACAACCCAGTACAGTGAATCAATTAGAAATGTTTGTATCTTGTATTTTACAGCCTATCTGAGGAACAGTACCCAGTTCAAGGAGCACAACCCAGTACAGTGAATCAATTAGAAATGTTTGTATCTTGTATTTTACAGCCTATCTGAGGAACAGTACCCAGTTCAAGGAGCACACCCCAGTACAGTGAATCAATTAGAAATGTTTGTATCTTGTGTTTCACAGCCTATCTGAGGAACAGTACCCAGTTCAAGGAGCACACCCCAGTACAGTGAATCAATTAGCAATGTTTGTATCTTGTATTTCACAGCCTATCTGAGGAACAGTACCCAGTTCAAGGAGCACACCCCAGTACAGTGAATCAATTAAAAATGTTTGTATCTTGTATTTCACAGCCTATCTGAGGAACAGTACCCAGTTCAAGGAGCACACTCCAGTACAGTGAATCAATTAGAAATGTTTGTATCTTGTATTTCACAGCCTATCTGAGGAACAGTACCCAGTTCAAGGAGCACACCCCAGTACAGTGAATCAATTAGAAATGTTTGTATCTTGTATTTCACAGCCTATCTGAGGAACAGTACCCAGTTCAAGGAGCACACCCCAGTACAGTGAATCAATTAGAAATGTTTGTATCTTGTATTTCACAGCCTATCTGAGGAATAGTACCCAGTTCAAGGAGCACACCCCAGGACAGGATGACTTGAAGGGTGCTACAGCGGCTCTTCTCCGTCTTCAAGATACCTACAAGCTTCAAACCAAAAAACTCGCTAGTGGAGAGATTGAAGGCACTAAAACTACAGTCTCCCTCACAGGTCAGTTGTTTTCAAAAATATATTGTTGTTTTGCATAGCTCAAGCCATCAAAAATGTAGCCTACATTCAAATAGTCATGAAGTAACCATCAAACCTCATGAATCAGGATCTTATTGCACTTTAGATGTTCTGTTTCTTATTTTTGTGATATCAAAGTTAAAGATGTACATAAATTTTTCATTTGTGTGACTTACCGCTCAATTAAATTTATTTGTTTTCCTTTCTGTTGATGGTGTAGTCCCCATGTACTGATGTCTTTTGTAAACTTAAAGGGATATGGTCATTTGTTTACATGTGCTGTGCAGAAGTTCATAACTAGCTGACACCAGACTTGGTTGAATTACCATTAAGGCCTAAAATAAAAACTTGTTGTATTGCCCTTTTAGGTGCCAAAACATGGGTCTGTCGGTCAGAATTTTTAATTTTTTTTAAACCTTTTTTTGTCGCCCTCTTTTGGCCGATATTTTTTAGTCTTGAATTTTTTCCCCGCCCTCTTTTGGCTGATATTTCTCAGTTTTTAATGCTTTAATATATGTGTTTCAGCGTCGTCAATCCATTCATATCTTTTTCACCTCATAATAATCCATGGTTTGCAATGTTGTGTTGAGACAACAGGTGGTCCTGGGCACAAAGTGGTCTCTTTACTAACCAAAGAAGGGACCGACACTGACACAGAAAAAGACAGCCAGACACTTTTGCATGCAACAGGTTCAAATCATTGTCTATTACAAATGTTTGTATCTATAAAACTGGCCCACTTCAAAGAATATGCTTTTCATTCCTGTTTCAGTTCTGGGGATTATTTGTTGCAATTGTATGTTTGTATCCGTTTTTTAGTCCAAAATGAGTCAAATCTGACAAGAAATTTAAACAATTCAAATGCATAAATATTTGAACTCACTGTATCTCCATGTTTAATCCGAGTTGTACAATTTACAAAATTACAAACTAACTTACACTTGCTGGAAACTTTAATAAAGAAACAATATCTGAATAAATAAACACGTCACCATTTCAACACTACGCATGCACAACATTTAATTCACGTGCGGACAGCACTGAATGACCACCAATTGAAAAACATGTTAATATCCACTCTTTGAAAGCTCGATTTGAAACTGTCAGGCAATATATCAACTTCTTCCAAATTGATGAAAAATGTATGATTTCTCTCGATGTATATGTCCTTTCATCTAGTCTTTACATAAATTTCAATGTTTTTTAGTGCCTTCAAAAATTGTCATGAATGTAAAAGTGTTGTGAACCTTTCCGTAGAAAACTTGAAACAGCGACCGTCGCCAAAATCTACCTGGTTTCTAGCTGGTGCAGTGCATGGTATAAATACGTACACGGGGCCGGGGTCTACTTTGAAATTTTGAAACTAGGGCAGAAGACGAGTGAGAATTTGAGAATACTTTGTTTTCATGCATTTATATCCCATTTAAACAAACAAAATACATATTTTTGTATTCATTAATAAAAAATATAAAAAACGGTTTGAAAAAAAAACTTTTTTAAAATGCCGACCGTAGATTTTCAGATTTGTTGGTCGGTCGCAAAGGGCAATACAACTATTTTCTATTTTAGGCCTAATGGGAGTACATTTCTACACCCAGCAAACCCATAGTCCATCAAGAACCCCTCCTAGTCTCTCAGAGAATCTTTGGAAGAAGGAAATATATGCTTAACCATCTGGGGGAATGGGTGAGAAAATGCAGAGCATTACATAAAAGGCTAATCCTGGTGATTGACAACAACGGTGTTGGGGTTAACTCCCAAATAGTGTCCAATTCCTCATTAGAGACCAGGACTAAGTCTTTAATTCTCTCCTCCGTGCAGCCCTTGAATGTTTTGAGCTTGGCAGGGTAGCTTACAACCAAGACGACCAGTACCACGCCCGTCTATGGATCACAGAAGCCTACAGACGTTACCAGAATGAATCAAAGACGGGCAAGGTTCCTGATCTTGATGAACCTCTCCTCCTGGACTATCTGGCATTCTCTTCATTTAAGGTGAGTGTAAAGGGGGGGGGGGGGGGGGGGAGAGAAAAAAAGAAATTCCATACACCTCATAAGGCAAATGAAGAAGCTATTATTTGAAAGAAATGCCTTGCTTTGTCCAAATGATAGGTAGTAGGGCAAATAAAAAAGCAGACCAAGCAACTGCAAACAAAAAACTATTAAACAAACCCTCTAAAACCCTCTAAAAAGGTAGATTGTGCCTTTATTATCCCGAAAATATAAAGGCAATAATGTAGAATTTACATAAATATCGTACATGTTTGTAGAATTATATATGAAATGTTTACATTTGTCCTTTTGTTGCCAATTTGTACAAACACTTCAAAATTCTCTTTTCTTTTTCTTGATAGTGATTTTTTTATAAAGTTTTTGAATAATCCTTTTTCATTAAATGTAAGGATGTTTTAGTGCTTGCATCAAATGCTTTTGTTTGATCTAAAAAAAGGCTCCTATTCCATGATAAAGCTTTTATAAACTTTCCAGACAGCCAATCAAATTTAGTGATTTTAGTAGCTTAGTAATACAATTTAATAAATCAAATGCAAGTATTATTGTTTTCAAAATTAAGTTTTATGAAATGGTTTCAAGGTCTTAAAGAGAAGGTTGAGTTCTGGGAAGAGGTGAAACATTGTGAGCATTTTCATTGTTATTATGCAAATGTAGAAGATCATCAGAGAAAAGATGTTCCCTGAAAAGCATGGCTCTTCAAATGCCTTCATATTCTAAATATGACATCTAACAGCTTAAAAATGAGGACCACATTTTTATGCCACATGTTTGTGTACTCCCATATACATCTTTCTATGTACAGTGCTTGTTAGTTTTACCAAGACTGGGCCAAAGTTCTTATCATTTTGATAATTCCAGAACCTTGCAGTAGGCCTACACACCAATACTTATATGCTACTTGGTCAACCTTTTTTTTGATCGATTCCACACCGTTTCTTTCACAATTTAATCGTTTGACCAGAACTCAACTTTTTATCTTTAAAGGTAAAGACCAGTTTTGGAAACGCCCCCCTCTCAAAAAATGAAATGGAAGCTCTTATTACCAATCATGTGAAATAATATGTTTTGACTAATATGTGATGATACAAATTTTGCCGGGAAACCGCCTACTAATTTATATATTTGGTAAATTATTATATCTATTTGGACCTGATAGATATCACGCACATGTCTTGTCGCGTAGTCCCATATACATCTTTCTGTGTACAGTGCTTATAACTTTACCAAGACTGGGCCAAATTTCTTATAATTATAATGATTTCAGAACCTTGCAGTACACACCAATAATTATATGCTAGATGATCAACCTTTTCCGATCGATTCCACAACGTTTCTTTCACAATGCAATCGCATGACCAGAACTGATCTTTATCTTTAAGCTTTTATGAACAACAACTCACATCTTGATGAAAACTTTCCAGACAGTCAATAGTAGCTGAATTACAATTTAATTAAAAGCAAGTATCATTGTTATCAAAATTAAGTTTTATGAAATGGTTCAATGTCTTAACAATATCAATTCCTCTTTTGCTCATTTGGTTATTATCTTCTGCCTTCAACAGCAAGGTTTCCTGGATGATGCTATCACGTACACCGACAGACTTCTTTCACTTGGTAAACCTTCAATATCCTCACCTTCTTGAAGTAATGGCATAACTCATATGTTCAAGATTTGAGAAAAACAGAGGAAACTAAACCAAATGTAGAATACATGATATTTGTCGCTCATTTCACACAGAAAGGTTTGGGGATACATGACGCAGGCCTGATAATTACCTGATTTTTGTTCTTCTTTTTTTCCCCCGATTTTTTTTCCTTTCTTTTCTTCTTCCCGATTTTAATTAAATTTTCCTGATTTTTCCCTATTTTCCCCTATTTTCTTCCTATTTTCTTACTCAAAAAGGGGGGGGGGGGATTTTGTTCGATGCCATTTTTTTTTCCCTGAATCCTTTTTTTTTTTTTTTTTTTACTCAAGGTGGGGTGGTTGAGGACATATGAAATTGACTATTGAAATGCTGTCTTTCAAATCTGTTTCATAAAAGGATTAGATTACTTGCAAACGTACCGTTGTGACTTACCAAAGAAATTTTACTCCGGACTTGGGCCAAATTAATCGTGGAGTAAGTGACTTAGGCAAAACAGTTCACTTCATTTATTCCCACTACAAACAATATAATTGAAGGAAATTAACACATTTCCATTTAAAACAAGTTCTCCCATGTTTCTCAGTCTTCTTCGTTGATGCTTAAGTCATATTTCTTGACATACAACAATGTAGGCCAAAAAGGCAAAACGGCCTAAGTCAGTACATTCTTCAATTAGGCCATAATACTAACTGGGATATAAGCAGCATGAATATGTTCAATTCAGCACAAACGCCATTCAAAGATACTATGTCCCTTTTGCAGCCAACATGAAATTCTGTAGAACTTTGCAGGAATTATGAATATGTCATATGTGTCCTATCTGTGCAATTTAAATGTTAGCAGTGTCCTAATATTCAAATTATGCGAGGAAACCCGTTTAATTGCTAGACTTTACTGTCAGACACTATTGAGTGACTGACTTGCTTTTCTTCTTCTTTGGTAATAACATCCATAAAATGATCTGTAAAGGGTACATGAGCATTTGTCTACATCAATAACCCACTTCTTGTAAGTAAATCAAACTGATTGAATCTTTGCGCAGCATAAAACGTACGACCATTCGGTACAATGGTGTGAAAATCAGACTATTACTTACTGGCTCTATAGCTCTTAAGTCGATTCGACAACTAATAGTTGTTATTTTCCCACTTAAAAGCATTTTCAAGCCCCCCCCCTTTTTTTTAGGGAAGTTCTAAATTAGTATTATCTTTCAAATACCATTGGAATTTAACGTTTTCATGTTTTTTGGCATGCAAATGGGACATAGTACCTTTAACAAAGGTGGATAGCCTCATGAAGAGATGACTTGTGCAAAAATATAATTTTCTTTAAAATGTGACTTAAGCCATTATGTTAAAGGTAATACAAAGTTTTGGAATTTTTGAAAATTGGGTGGATAGTGATTCTTCACAATTGTTGATATATTTGGATGCCCCTGTGGATGTATTATAAGCACTAGAAAATTTAGCCCCTGAAACAATTCTGCTTTCGAGTAAAATTGAATATAAAAATTTACCGGTGCTCCCGGTAAACTTTGATAAATTTTAAATAGAGCCTATGGCCGTACAATGGTAGCTGCGACCATGAAAATCTCAGAATATGTAGTTGTGATATAGTTTCCAAACGGGAATAGCTAATCAGTCGATTTTAGTCAAGAAACATTGTTTTATAGCTTAATTAAAACTTGACCTTCAGAGGGAGCTTTACAGCATAAAGAGTGTATTATTGACAATTTCATAACATTAGACTCGATTGCAACCGCGACAATGATCACTGAATATTGTAGGATCGCATATGCTTTCAATATGTTCATTTGAACCAAATTTATGACCTCATACCGAAACCTAGTATTACCTTTAAGAAGGTGACGATGGATTATTTTAAAGGGAGTGGGTCATTAGTTTCCATGTGCAGAAGGTCGTTATTTGCCAACACCAGACTTGGTGGAAATGCCATTGATGGGGGGTACAAGTCTTGCACACATCGAACCCTCTCGTCTCTCGCAGAGTCTTTGGGTGATGCTATTTTAGATAAGAACTGAGCTGAAAATCACTTTATGCATGCCTTTACTGGTACCTGGTAGGATATAGGCAAATGTTGATGTGGTTGGATTGGCATGTGTGCACTTTCATGTGCAGATTGGCAATTGAATCCAATGACCGGGGTAGTAATGATTACAATGTAGAGCGCATAGAAACGTAATGTAGTCGCTTTTAAAAAATGTGACTATTATTGAAATATGAATCAGTTTTAAAGGCACACTGTCCTACTTGTAGCTACTTGCTCCCTCTATATAGAAAACTTCACCAATCGGTGCCTGTTGGTCCCCCATGATCCTCTTTTTCTTTGTTAAATGAGAGCTGAGTTAATGAGATAGCCACCAGTCACAGTGACCTCGCTGGGTCGCTGTGTGGTCTAATCCCTTCTGGCTGAAGTAGTAAAGCCTCCCTTTAATGGACATGTGATAATAATGATAACAATAAAAATAGTAATCATAATAATGATTGTATTGATAGACAAAAATTGAGATCATGAATACCCTATAAACAATGCATAAATGTATAACAAAACCTGGTAACACATCAATTTTCATGATGAGCTGTCTCAATCTACTAACATTACACCATCCATCTGCCATTCTCTCCTAGACCCCAAACATGAGAGAGCTAAGAACAACAAGATCTTCTTCATGAGTGAACTCGAAGAAAAAGAGATTAAGGAGAAACCGAGAGGAGAAGATGCGGAAATTGATGATAAGACAGGAGAGATAGTCAAAACACAAGAGGAGCTTGAGAAAGAGAAGGCAGAGCAAGCGTACTCCTATCCAGAGAGGAAGCAGTATGAGGCGTTATGCCGTGGGGATCCAGGTGCTCTCAAAGTATGCATGCAGTGGGCACTTTTTATGCTACAAATCTCTCTCATGAATTTAGAATTTATCTCCGTTTTTTAATGATCATTAAACCAACGGTCACAAAGGTTCGTACGATCGATGCATTCGTACGAATCTCTCTGTTTTTCCATTGTCTGAAAATCGTTCGTACAGCGTTTCGTAGCAGTTCATGATGGCATTTGTGACAGAGGCTTTAAATGACTCATTGACTATGATCTTCTGGTGAAAGGGATGGATACTTTTCAACATATCCCACATGTTAGTTATATTACATCCTGAAAATCATTTTATCAATTTAATTGGTTACCTGATGTTACCAACCCTGTGTTTAATTCCAAAAGAGAAGAATTTATCAACACTGAACAAAGCATTGTCTCGATCTGTCCGCTAAAGCAACCCTGTCTTGTAGAAGCTACTGCAACAAGATTAAAATCATGAAGCAGTTATTACCTATGACTGATCCAGTTTTGACCTCTGAATGAAAAGAATGTACAATGAGTTGAAAATTAAAAATAAAAGAAACTTGTAGATGGTAAATACCTTTCTCTCTCCCTCCCCTCTCTGTCTTTCTGTCTTTCCCCCTTCCTTCTCTCTCCCTCTCTCTCTCCCCCTCCTCCCCATCTCTCTCCCTCTCACTTCACGTCTCCCTCCCCCTCCCCACCTCTCTCCCTCCCCCCAACCACATCGCTCTCCCTCTTACTTCACCTCCCTCCCCCTCCCCCTACACACACACTCCAGGTTGTTGATCACAGGTTACTGAAATGTCAATACCAGCATTACAACCATCCCTTCCTCTACCTCCAGCCAGCCAAGGAAGAGGTCATCTTTGACGACCCCAGGCTCGTCTTCTATCGGAACATCCTCAATGACAAGGAGATTGCGTTCGTGAAGCGGCTTGCATCACCCAGGGTTGGTATCATATTTATTTCCAGTAAATTGGTAGGGGTTACCAAGGTGGTCCACAAGCAAAAAATTCAAACAAGTATAATTAAAACTTGGAAGGAGTATGAAAATGAAAAGTCCCTAGGTCAGGTTCAAGGACCAACTTAGGGGCTCTGGAAACTCTAGGATTCTTAGATGCCATCTGGTCGAAACTGAGCCATACTTAATTGATTTTATGACTAATATTTAACAAACATTTTGGGTTGAGAATGAATTTGAAACCTGTAACTGATTTTCAAACCTGTCATTTCAAAATTCAAGGTGGTTGCTCTCATGATCTTTCCAGTCAGGAAAAAAAGGTTAGGATATGCTGGCTCGACAAGAATGTCCCAGAAGGAAGGAGCCTGTCTCTTGTATTTTGTCTTGTGTCCAAAATTGCTGGAATCATTGACCATATGGTTTCTCAGTATCTACCATTTTCCCTTTATTGATCTTGGAATTTTGAAACTCCATCAGAGAAAAAAGGAAAAAAAAAATCAAGAAATTTTGTTTTCATGACATGCTTGGAACTCTGGCATCATACATCAATAAATTGAAGTATATATGAAGTTCCCAATAAGCCAAAAGAGAGCAATAGTGCAGGCATGCAGTAATTAATTGTAATAATGGGATGGGGTTATCCCAGCTATTGTAGGGGAGGGGGGGGGGTGTGATGTTTATCCAAATACACCCAACCTCTCTTGAAAAATAATGAATTTTCAAATGCATGATGTTACTGTCCCCTAGCCAATATTGATATTGGTATGAGCTGAGCTGAGCTAATTAAAAAAAACCCTGCTTTCTCTTTGCATGGCTTAAAATACATCTATTCAACTAGTTCATGAATTGTGTATAAAAGAATTAATAAGAATATGATATTACAAGATTTTTAGGGTTTAACTAAATCATAAACATTTGGAAATATCATGTTGAAAAAAAAACTGAATTACTCCTGTCAACAAGACAACGGAAGATGGGCTATTCCAGTAAAAAATGTCTTTTCTTTCAAAACAATAAGATATGATTTTTATGTTACATTATAATTGACAGTATTTACAACTAACACAAATATCTAAATTTCATTTTTTTTTTAAAGTCATTTTACCACTAGATTTAACATTTACATTAAAAAAGTGACATCAATTAATGCATTTGAAATGACTAATACTGATTTTTAGTTTGTAGAAGTTTAAAAGAACAAAATTCTTGTATTTAATTGAATCCATGTCACAATATTATATGCTGTTGTACAAATGTTTGATAGTTCTATATCTCGATGTCTCAAACTATTCTATATCTTAATGTAACAAACTTTTCTACATCTTAATATCACAAATTATTTTATATCTTAATGTCACCAACTTTTTCCCCCTTTTTTGTTATTTTCACCTTCTTTTGATGTCGATGTCGGAGGTTGCCAATTTGTGATCTAGTGTTCCGAATCTAGTCTTCTGAGTGGCACAGGTTGTGGGAAACCCTTCACAACTAATCCCTCTCACTCTCTATCATCCTCTTTCTTATTAACAATTATTAACATCAGCATCTTTATTTCTGGGATGCAGTGCTTTTGTTTATTTTTATATCATTATCTGGACATTACATATCATGCTGCATGCCTTTGAAGAAATAGCAGAAAAAAAGATTAGTGCAAATCTGCATGTAGTAGCTTATTACAGGTAATGTTTACAGAAATTTCATTTACATTACGACAAACTTGTCAGGTGTAGTTGTAGGTGTATTAGAGAAAAACAAGACTTAAGAATATGGTGTTTTTTGCATGTCCTTTTCCATTTGTATTAGTAACACTCATGTTGGCTTAGATGGACTTTGAGTCTCATTTTGAAGGCAATTTTGTAATCATTGATACAAGACTGTGCTAAACAAATAATAGGTTTTAAAGAAAGAATTATGTCCAAATTGTAATCAGTCTTAACCAGTCTCTTATTTATCCTTCACTGAGACTAAACCTCTAGTTTAAAAATGAATGTTAAAATTAAATTATAAATATTGGACCAAGATGCTCTATTGTTGCAGAACTGTTAAAGCTGTAGACTTGAGTTTGTACAGTTTACATTATTTTCAAAGGGCATCCTAAATTCATTTCATTTCCATGTCATATGCTCTATATGAACCCTTTATTGTCCACAGAGAGTCCTACCTTCATTTAGAAACTTCCCACAAGCTGTGCTATGTACATGTATCTCTCAATTTTGTTGAGAAGCAATGAACATTTTACAATTTTTGAAACTGCCAGGTCAAAAAATTGTACTTCAAAATGATCATGAAGTGCTTCGAAAAAGTAAAAATCTTTGAGTGACAGGTTTTTACCATACTCATTTCCCCCAATAGACTGTAGTGTTTAATATAAATGCTGTTCAAAACCGTTGGGAAAACGGTTTCTGAAATTTTGAATTCCAATCATAAATATCTTGATAATCAGACAGGCGATCTGCTTGTAAAATTCATGGGATTCCTGACTGGCCTAAAGGTTTATAATTATCATTGCAGCATAAGCTAATTCCAGGATTTTGTTTAGAATCTGAGGCAAAGATACCTAATCCCTTTAAAGGAAGGGTAGACAATTTAAGAAACATAAGTTGTTGTTTTTTGTCCTTGATCTATAATTTGATATATATTGTATCACTAACTGCAGCATGATGAGTTATTTTTGCATGTAGTTTATTCTTGATTTTTGTAAATATGTATTGTTTTTTTTAGTTTCAGCTAGTATGCTCTGTATTAAAGGTAATCCATACTATCGGTGAAAGTCAAAGGGACAATAAATAGATTCCAGAAATGTTGTTATGTTTGGATACACCAACTAGAGTGTTACATTCACTGGATAAATCTCAAACTGAAAAAATCATTAGGAACCATCAAATTTTTGGGGGAAATCAATATGACAAACACTTAAATCTGAGTCATTTGGTTCTTTAAAAATCCACAAGGCTGGTCTTAATCACAAAGAAAAATTAAATTAACGCTGTGGCCATTGACATACCAGCACCATCTATTAATACAAAGGTATTTCAGCTGTGGCCATTGAACCGTTGACCTTGAGCCGCTACATTCCTTTTACATTGCGTTTGTTTTGAACCCTTGACCTTGAGCCGCTACATTCCTTTTACATTGCGTTTGTTTTTAACCCTTGACCTTGAGCCTCTACATTCCTTTTACATTGCGTTTGTTTTGAACCCTTGACCTTGAGCCGCTACATTCCTTTTACATTGCGTTTGTTTTGAACCCTTGACCTTGAGCCGCTACATTCCTTTTACATTGCATTTGTTTTTATTTTAAAAGATCCTGCATGCTCTTCTTCACCCCTCCGCTTTTCAATCCATACCTTCGAGAAAACAGAGAAAGCAATGTATCCCATTCTTTCTCGTTTCCCACAGCTTCAGAGGGCTACGATTCAGAACGCAATCACAGGTAACCTTGAGTTTGCCGACTATCGCATCAGCAAGAGCGCTTGGGTGAAACAGGAAGAAGACCAGTTGATTCGTTCTATCAGGTTTCGGGTCCAGGCCTATACGGGTCTGGAGCTTGACACGGCAGAAGATCTACAGGTTGTCAACTATGGCATCGGAGGACATTATGAACCTCATTTCGACTTTGCGAGGGTAAGTCTCATTTGAGTAGACAGGGGTGGTGTTTTTTGGGGGGAGGGGTGGATCAGTTTATTAAAACAAGCATGAGATAGACTAGAATTTTACAAAAATTCGCAATGTTTTGTTTTTTATATCTTGACTGAAATTTCTCCATTATATAGTTATATACTTATATATACTGATCATAATTTTACCTTGAATGATACTGGAAATAATTCCTACACTGATTAGCAAAGTGTTGAATGATGAAGGAAAACACATTTTAAAATGTCATACATATTTGTCTTTCTTACAAATGAACAAAGAAATGCCTCTGTTGGATTTACCCCATATTCATGAAAAACAATTTTTTTGGGTGAAAAAACAGTGAACTGTATATTATTAGCATTTGTGGGAGGATTAAAAACCATTTAATGCAGTAGAAGGTCAATGAAGCTTCACTGAAAATGTGTTGTCTGTTGGGGATTAATTTGTTTTTTGGGGGTGAAGGCAAGAATATATCTTTAACAAAACATTCTTGTGTTTCTTTGGGAAATATCACTGTTTTGCTTTTTTGATGTTGTAAACCTGCGAAATCTACTCTTGTCAATCGATTTTGATGCCAGGCTGGATTTCTAAACCAGTTTGTAATAATTTATGGAAATTTACATATTATATTCTTTGTTGAGGTATGGAGATTTTGGAGAGTTCATTCTTTGATTTCTTTAAATGGTTATTAATATGATTTGATGCATCAAAGTATGTATAATGAAATTGCCAGTGCCAGGTGTGTGTCTTGTATGTATATACTCCCCTACCCCCCCCCCCCTCTCTCTCTCTCTCTCTCTCTCTCTCTCTCTCTCTCTCTCTCGTGCATTATACCTCTGATGAGAGGACTTTTTGGGTGTTGTATTCCATCTAGTAAAGATAGATAGATGAATCTGTGCCATCATCTAGAAAACTTTGCTAGTTGGAATACAGCTATCGTCCTCTTCTGGTTTCTCTCATCTCTCAAGCTTTCATTCCATTATTTTGTTGTGCTATGATACCTGCTTTCATATTTGCATGCAATTTATTAACAGCCTTACTAACAAAAATATTATTAATTATAATGTTATTTTCTTATGGAATGTAAGCAACATTTAAATATAGCCAAAATAGTACAATTCTTTGTAAGCAACTTTTAAGATTTATCTTAACTTAACAATTCCTTAGTATTACTATGAGCAATATTTAAAAGTCATCTAATTGTGTAAGTCTTGAAATGCTCAGAAATGATAACTGTCTGGTATAGTTATACCAGCTGGATATCAGGCAATGGAGGCTGAATCATTTAGCATCTGAATACAGCTGTCTGGTATCAGTGCTTTCAGAGTGAAAGGGAATCCATTACAATGCACATGGGAGGGAGTGACATTGTTGGTATTTGAGCCAACCATTGGCTCTTCTAGACCCACTGGTACCCCTGATTCAAATTACCCTTTAAATCCAATAAGTATTGAAAATTTGTTTGTTATCTTTTTTATGCCAGATTTTAATAATTATCATGTCAATGGTAGTGTTGTAACATCACGGATATCTCCAATTCCGTTTAACCGCCAGTCAAAACCGGACGTTTTTTTTGGTTTTTTTGTGGCCGACTCTGTCGGCAGCAAGCCAGGTCCGTGTGAAAAAACCCAAGCGGGAAGGACTTTCATTTAACTGCAAGTGCAGTTGGAAGGTGCCGATTTGTGCTTGTGAACTTGTCACACATAATAGTAATTTGATTGTTGTTCTAGTTTCTGAGCTGGGAGACATTGCCAGGCATAGTGCCAGGTGGAGTGGCATAAATCAAAACTTTAAAAAAAAAAAATTATTAAAACAAAATGAAAAAAACAAACAAAAAAACGGTAAAACAAAACCGTCCAATTGAAAACGGATAGTGCCATGGGCGGTCGGAAACTGGGACGGTTAAATGTTTTACTACAGCACTAGTCAAGGGGGCTCAGGAATATTAGAGATGACAAGCCTGTGGAATTTGGACTAAAGAAAACTAAATGTTTTTATAGAACAAATATTTTTTGGTAATCTTTGGCTTCAAATGGATCTGGATTGCCTACCGGTATGCCCCAATTTTATTTGATGTGGATTTTAATTAAAGAAGGAACATATCATCCATAATCCATGGTCAAATCATGCTAAAGAACATTGTTCTCAGACCTATATGTCCTAAACACCAAACCACTATACATATGGATGGTTAAAACACATAAACATGTTCTAGATCAGAATACCCTAGGAAATTAATGAACCTTTTAATCAGTAATCAGGGTTAATTTTCATTTTGAACATGATTCTTCACTGTACGTCCTTACAAAATCATCCCCAATTTAGCTTCTGTTTGAATAAAAACCTGTGGGGTGTTTCACACAGATCCTAAGTTGAACTTATCTCTAAGTTGGACTTAACAATTATGGAAAGCCGTTAGCATCTATGAAAATGTTTTGTAAAAGTTATTTTAAAAGGCCTTAATGTTCATTCAAATCATTCATGATTTCTATTACCAAGGGGATTTCATGTTCTTGATGTGGAATTTATGAAAAGTTTAAAATACTTGAATTTCTGCTTTTGAATATATTTCATTTTAAGGCTACAAATGGCTCTCCATAATTTTTAAGTTTTACTTAGGATCTTTGTGAAACACTTCCCTGGTATGAAATATTGTCCATTTACTTTTAGCTTAAACAGATTAACATGTTTTTGATATGTGATATTATAACCATATTCTTCTGCTAATCATGACAGGTAGCCGATGCTTACGAGGGAGGTATAGGTAACAGGATAGCCACAATGTTATTCTATGTGAGTAAGAGGAGGGTTCTCGCTCAATTTGTGTTAAATGATTGATGTACAATCTAGTGTGAACATCCATGACATAAGTTTATTAAATCTGTCACAATATTTTGAAACATTGCTTTCTGTCTCAAGTTAAGAGTAGTGGTGTGATGAACCATATTCTTAAGTGTCAACTCTACTCTGACAGGTGTGGTGTGCAAAACAATACGTTAAGTTACTGTTTAATCTACTTTACCTTGCAAGAAACTACACATGTAAGTGTTGTCAACATTTATTTTATCTTTCCGTTGACTTTAAAGCTAATCTTGAGCTCTGGTATGGGCATCGTATGTCGAGAGAACATGGCTATAATTCATTCTGGATTGTTTATATCCTGCAGTAGACAAAAACTTGCTGGAAACTGTCTTCATCAAAAACCACAACTCTCATTTGCACATGGAGAACCGTGATAAGTACATGGTTTCGGGCCTACCTGGATTTCCTTATCTTTCTATGCTCATTTCTCAGCCCCTATACATTTTCTACCTAAATCGTTTGGCACATGTCATTTATTTGTAATCTTGAACATTCAGTGTAAGTTTCTTTGGATACTGTGAGAATTTATTTATCATTACCAGAACTCAATCTTATCTTTAAAGGTACTATGTCCCATTTGCAGGCCAAAAAATGAAAAGGTTAAATTCCAACGGCATTTGAAAGATAATACTAATTTAGAACTTCCCTAAAAACTTGAAAATGTCTTCAAGTGGGTACATAACGACTATTAGTTGTCAAATCAACTTAGGAGCTATAAAGCCAATAAGTAATAGTCTTGATTTTCAGACCATTGTACAGAATGGTCATACATTTTATGCTGCGCAAAGATTCACTCAGTTTAATTTTGGCCATCACAAGAAGTGGGTTATTGATGTGGATGTATCCTTTACAGCTTATTTCATGTATGGTATTACCAAAGAAAAAAAAAAGACAGTCAGTCACTCAATAGTGTCTGACAGTGAAGTCTAGCAAGTAAACGGGTTTCCTTGCATAATTTGAATATTAGGATACTGCTCACGTTTAAATTTCACAGATAGGACATACATGACACATTCATAATTCCTGCAAAGTTCTACAGAATTTGAGGTTGGCTGCAAAAGGGACATAGTACCTTTAAAGCTGTTTTTATGCAGTGTCCATTTTCACATATAATTGCTTTCATATATTTCACAAAACCGTTGTAGGAACTAGTTTGCAGACAACCCATTGAAATTCTCATATTCAATTTAACAATGATTTCATTGGGATGTCGGTGAACGTCTACTTATGAGAAACGATACTCAGGTATCATATACAGCTACATGTTTGAAGGCAAATGCTGTATTGCATAAATTTGGAAATGCCCACTGCAGCATTGGTACTGAAATCGCAATGAAAATAAAACTTGTTAAATTTTGTATTCCATTGCAGCTGAGTTATTGAAAGATACCTCTGCAAGATAGTTTGATGATTGTCTGTGACTTCCTTTGAATCTTGGTTCTCATGAAGATATCAGAATATCTGATAATAATGATAATGTTGAATTTGTATAGCGCACAATAATTACAATTCAATTGTATATGCGGTTTACAGTATAAAGTTGGAGAACATTTGTAAACATAATACAGAATAAGTATATTAATGAAGTGTGTTTATGAATAAGTTGTGATATATCACACGGAGTGAGATTAGTCCTAATCAAAGCCTCTTGTGCCATCCTATCCATGCCTAAGCTTATACCATGCCAACTACACTCAGGGTTATACAGTTGTCCACACAACAGTTGTGAATGGGTTTTACTCATTTTACTCAAACATGCTAATTTATATTCTAGCTTGGTTGTAAATTATTCTTCACCTCTCATTGGGATTTTCCATTTTGATGAGGTAAAATCTTAAAAGGAACAGCATTGTGAGTATCCAGGCTACTATATCAACCAACAAACGAGAGGTCTTCATGAAGCACCTCCGTCACTTTGGCAGTGATTATTCTACAATGCGCGAGGTGGAACGTCTACATGTGTAAAAGATCTATGGATATTTGGGGGTCATTTGTACCATGTGCTAACTACACACTGATCTATAGACTGAATTGTATCATCCATTTGGTGTTACTGCTTGTGACATGTTGAAACCTTGATTAGTCTTTTATGTCCTAGTGGGTATCATCAGAATAGGGTACACATGTTGAAACCTTGATTAGTCTTTTATGTCCTAGTGGGTATCATCAGAATAGGGTACACATGGTGAAACCTTGATTAGTCTTTTATGTCCTAGTGGGTATCATCAGAATAGAGTACACATGTTGAAACCTTGATTAGTCTTTTATGTCCTAGTGGGTATCATCAGAATAGAGTACACACTTGTTGACTGAATGATAGACTTCACTTGTTCAATAACTTGCATTCTTCGTGTCGAAACTATTAATCCTCATCTATTATGGCTCAGACCATTTGCAAGGGTACATTCCCATATGACACTGTCTACTGTTGCAGAATTACTGCCTTACTGCTCTTAACCTCCATTTCATTTGTTGTGGAAAAAGAGATAATTGCAGTGCTGCAGTAATCACAACAGTATGTTGTTTCAGCTCATGTGGGCACGTATCTTTGTGATGGCACAGAAGTGGTCTCCTTGCCATGATGACACATACACACATTTCATCTAGTTTTAGACTACTTCTACCTTACTAACATTCTCCATTTTATCATCTATGCACTAACTCCACACAATTCACCCTTTGAGGACTCCTTAATCAAATCCTTTAACTGAATACACCAATAGATAACTTGAGCTATTGCCTTTCTGTTGATTCAGGAGCTTTGAAAACTAATTTGCAATTTGAGGGGATTCTGTGCTATATGACCTGTACAACATATGACTTTTATCAATTTATTTCATTCACTACAAATATCTCTTGATGTGGCCATGGACTCATGGTTATTTATGAAAAAAAGTACTTATGTACATGTATGTAGTACAGGACTCTTTGCACAGAATCATATTGTTTTGCCATTCAATAATTATTTATTAGGCCACTGTATCCATACCATTTTGATAGGATTTAGTTTGCTTCAGGCTCCATGCGCCTCTTTTCCAGGGATGCCCGTTTTCACGTAAAAGTCCTAAAAGGGGGGGGGGGGAGGTTTTAAGCCCCCCCCCCTCCATGATCTTGGCCGTATAGAATACTATGGTAATAAGAATAAGAAATTGATTTCCCATATCTGTTCATGTTATTGCTTAATGCAAATCACTTTCGAGAATAGCATAAAGCATGTTCAGATCTACCTAAGATCCATTGAGAAAAAGAGAAAAGCCCTACTGCACAGCATATCACTGTTAAGTTTAGCATGGAAAGGGCTCAGCACACCTTTTTAAAAAGAAGAAAGGGGTGTGTTTGTGTTTGTGTGTGGTTATGTGTGAGTGTATTCATTACGGAATTCACTGGTCTTTTCTCATTTATTCTAAACTTTCCTCAACCATGCACATTTTGAACAAAGAAAAAAACCCATCAGGACGAAGTAGACCCTCATTTTGATACCCTCGGCACAGGCAATCATATAGCCACCGTACTGTTCTATGTGGGGGTCCTATAGCTGCATGTCTACTGTATGTGTAGTGAATACATAACACCTAGATACACTAGCCTTAGGAAGCACATTGAATTCCTGATCCTACTCCCAAAATATCATGAAATGCATTATACTACAGACATGAACAACTATATATGTATGATTGGCGAAATTCAGTTTAGTGATTATGTACGTATAATTTGTTTGTTTAGGGATGGAGGGAAACTTCCTTAATCTAAAGCAGCACAGAGTACTATGCTCATAGACATCACCTAATCCCAATTCTGAGTGCTTTCTTGAATGGTTCATGTTTCCAATGTGGTAGAGAGACATAAGATGAAGTAGGATGATGAAATCTTGGTGCTTCCCAAGTCCCAATAGTCACCAACCATTTATAGTTCCTCAAGACCCAAAGCTTTTGCATGATATTCTGCAGCCTCTCTCTCATTTTTTGCATGTTATCATCTCAAATTCTTTCAATACTACTTGTACCCCCTAGTCATGTCTGCAAGCAAAAACTGGTTTAAACTGGTTTTATCTGGCACTGTGCAATCCACTTTATGTCGATTATATTCATGTTTCTTTTTACAGATCAACAAAACTTTCAATACCAGTCGTTTGTGAAACTAACTTGCCATACCTACCGTATATATGTATGGCAAAGTACGAAAAGAACGAAAAGAACCCTTGGAGTATGCAACAGAAGAAATATAGAAAAATTGATCCTTCTAAAGAAGCGATCAAAATATAATGACTAAACTAGAAGTCATTTGATCAACAACTGGGGTCACCAGACCAACATTGTCAGCCTGGTGGTCTTTTGGTTGGGTTGTCCCAGAAGAGAAAAGCCATAGCTATGATTCCATATGGTATATCTACCAAGGTTTAAATTTAGATGTATCATAATGATATTGAAAGAAATCCAATTTAGCTTTCTCAATGATTACATGTACCTAAAAAGATTGGTCCAGTGCCTCTAACCTGTTGCTCTAACGAAAATGATCATCATCTTCTCAACCTAACAACATCTAAATATTACTTCAACTTGCAGACGTGACTAAACTCCTAACCCTTAGGTTGTTATCTTTTCATGTTATCTCTGCCCCTTCTCTCTCATTCAATGCTTGCCATGATCTTGCAGGCTGAGGAGACCAATGCATTTCAGTCGTTAGGAACTGGGAATAGAATCGCTACCGCTCTCTTCTATGTAAGTATCACATGTCCAGACATGTCCAGTACCTACGAGCCGAGAGATGATATCAGGAATGGCTTCCTGTCATTGGTCTACCCTTTCGCAAGACGGGCTCAAGAACTGTCAATTGGCAATGATGGGTTTCTGTAACCTGATTTTAGCTCTTACTTTGAGCCACAAAATAATTTTAAAGCGTATGAATGCATTTGACAACATTGATCCAAATTCTTGGACTAGAATCTTATGAATGTAAGATGTTTTAGAATGGTCCTTCTGTGAAAGATGATAGCACTGTGGAAACTGGTGCATTGGCAGTGCATTGAGAACAGGATATTGCACAAGACAGAGATTATTGCTCTTTCTGTACTGAAAGATTGGTTCTTGAATCTGAACTTACCTTTGGATACCAAAGGTATTCCAAGACTGTGCCTAGGGTTTATGAGGATAATGCCATGGCAAAGGTTTTTATGGACAAGGACATATGCCTTTGACAGGGATCCTCCATAAGCCATTGGTCTAATCATGTATGTACAGTGCGTTCCAGAAAAAACGAAACCGAGAATTATTGATGTTTTCTCGTAACTTAATCACAATTACAATCAATAAATGACACATATTTGTAAAGCTTAGATCCTCCTTTTTCAGTTGATGCAACTCATATGATGCATATTTCCAAAAAGTCATTTTTAGGGCAGTATCTGAATTTCAAAGAGAAAACCACATTTCTAGAAAGTTTATTTTCTACTCTTTCATATGACACCTCAATCAGGAAAAATGAGACAGGAATAACAGTTCTGCTTGTTTAAAGTAATGCTTGCATTTCCATAATTTGATTACCGGGTAAACAAATTCGTTTTCACTGGCTGCCTGCCATAGCAACAAACAGTTGACAAAAGACTTGTATCCATTTTGTTGACAATCAGCCATGCACAAAAAAGATGAAAGACTTGATGCATGGCTTATCGTCAACGAAATGGAGTTAAGTCTTTTGTCAGCTCTGTTTGTTGCTACGGCAGGCAGCCAGTGTAAACAAATTTGTTTAATCAAATTATGGAAATGCAAGCATTACTTTAAAGTAGATATTCATTGATTTTCAAAACTAACTTTATTTTCATTATTGCAAAGTTAAAACTTTGATTCGACAAGGTTATCAAAATTCGATGCTTGGAAACATTCAAAGTAATGATTATTATAAATTACAAAACATTTAAATACAGCCCCGGCATAGCACCTGAAGAGCTCTCTGAATGCTGCTGAGATGTGCGATATTACAGTATGGACATGATTTGCACAAGCAGACGATGTCCCTTGACATCTCACACATTTTCAGTGCCTGTGTTTTCATCTTCTCTTGAGTTCTTTCTCTTACTTCACTACCGTCAGGCTAAATGTATAATATATTGCCCCACTCTAAACCCGAGCATGGCTTTATTTTGATGACAAATGCAGCGATACAAAAATAAAGGAATATGTCGCTTGTAAACAAAATAAGACACCATTGTATATTCAGCTGCACACACCGCGGTGTGTTCGTCGCTTCATGAGGGAACAAATGTCGTCCTTAATATCGTTCCAGGGGTTTTTCAATTTGAAAGTCTGGTTTCTTTGATTGTGAATTAACCCCTATCCTATGTATTTACAAGCAAAAGATTTTAGTTATCAGAATCGGGTCATATCCCCTTTTGAATGGTTTGACATGCCATTATATTTATATACACTTAACTCGTTATTATTTGACAAATAATAGCTTTGCAATTATGTTAATTCTTTATGGATGTCGTCTGCTTGGGCAGTTTTGGTCCAAATAGTGACGTCATTAAAACATTGTTATTTTTCAGGCGAATCTCTCGTATATCCCAGCTGCTCTGGAGGTGGTTGTATTTGTATTTTTATAAATCACCCGATATGTAGTTGACCTAAAACTTGTACGATGGCCATCTGTTAGCTTACCAGTTTCTAGTGATACATTAGTTGACATATTTGTGATTTTCTTTGAATTTCACCTTTAAACAAACAGAACTTTGTTATTTCTGGTTCATTTTTCCTGATTGAGGTGTCATATGATAATAAACTTTCTAGAAATGTGATTTTCTTTTTGAAATTCAGATACCACCCTAAAATTGACTTTTTAGTTTCCTCTCTTTAAATTGTTTTTAATCACTAATGCGTGAAATATACATCCTATGAGTTGCATCAAATAAAAGAAGAGGATCTAAGCTTTACAAATATGTGTCATTTATTAATTAGAATTGTGATTAAATTATGATAAAACATTGATAATTCTCGGTATCCTTTTTTTGGGGGGACGCATGGTATATGGGTACCATACCTACAGCTGTAGACCTCATTTGTCTTATATCTCTTGTGGAAAGAAGAGACAGAAGCTTTCAAAAAAAATTGAAGATGGGCAATACAAATGCCACCACACTGCTCTATGTGAGTATGAATAGGTCATGGGGAGGTCCTTGACTAGCCAGGAGATAAGATCATCCTATTGAATGTCCAGAGTTTAACTGCAACTGCAAACATGAATGCAATAACTTCACCTATTTCAATGTGTGAACATCGCAGTGATGCAGTTTGAAATCTGAACAGGATTTCTATGGGATACAATAGGAAATTGAGATTGCCTTTGAGTTAATTTCTCAAGTATTAGTAATCATGTTCAATATAAGCTCACCAGTAAAAAAAAAAGTAAAAGCATCTGCATACCTGCCAATCCTTCCTAATAATCAAGAATATTCTGATTTTCATGGATGTTTAGGAACTAAAAATTCAGAATATTCTGATTTTTTTTTTTTTTTTTTTTTTTTTTTTGGGGGGGGGGGGGGGGTGCTAATAACAAATTAAGCTTGATTTATGATGTGAGAGCTCAGGTATTGTGTGCGTTGAATGGCTGCATGATCGTACAGATTTACAGAATATTGCCTGTCACACTACCGCTGCATGTGCGAACGTTTGTTAAGGGTACAGATTTCTTATTTTCGAAAGCACATCTTGCTAGAAAATCCTAATTCTAATGTTGGCAGGTATGCATCTGTAATACAACCCTTCAGGTATGTAGTATGATGAAGTAAGGATACCAAGAAATGCTTTGAAGAAGGAACTCAATCCATTTAGTGGTGTAGGAAGATGTAACAAATACAAATGTCCCAAGTTAAGACAAGGTACTGAACTCTTTTAAGATTGTAGATGTGTTTCTTGCAAGGTGAAAGTTAAGTTTTTTGTTTTTTTCACCACCTGTTGGAGAGACAAAATTTGATTTTCAACATGCAGAATTAGTATGTCATGGATGGTCATAATGAGCATGTTATACTTTTAAAATCTCATGCTGAGTTTTGATTTATTAGCAGTGTGTATGTAGATTATTATATTTATATCATTGTAGTTGAATGTTAGCTTTGTAATATGTTGATGACAGCTTTTTGCATTCATTGATGCCGTTGTTTGATCAAATTCTAGAGTTATTACATATTATGATCATTTTTCTAGAATCAAACTGTGACACTGATTGTGTTTCACAAAAGAAAGCATGTTTCTCGTCCTCACTATTAAAATTAACGAATCAAATTCTAGTGAAAGGTAAATCATGTTTTTTAAATAAATTTTCAATTCATTTCATGTGTCTGTAGAGTATTTATGTCAAAATTCAAGGACTTGTTTTGTTTAACACACAAACAGATCTTTTATATTTAAAATTTTACAAGATAGTTTCTCTTTTTCCAGGATTAAATAAATAAATAAATAAAAGCATCCCTTTTTTTTAATGAAACTGGGTCTTTAATTTTTGTTTTTAGATGAGTGATGTGGAAGCTGGTGGAGCCACAGTTTTCACAAAAGTTGGAGCAAGAGTTCTCCCTACAAAGGTATGTCTTCTTCTTCTTCTTCTTCTTCTTCTTCTTCTTCTTCTTCTCTCCTCCTCCTCCTCCTCCTCCTCCTCCTCCTCCTCCTCCTCCTCCTCCTCCTCCTCTTCCTCCTCCTCCTCCACCTCCTCCTCCTACCTATCCTCCTACTTCAAATACATTCGACCTATTTTGTAATTCTTGTACTGCTCGTTCACTGCAAAGTGCTAATGTGTCATCAATGGGTTTTAGGGACAAAATGAGTCAGATAGTGAATAGTGACAAAAACAAAGTGTTTTAGACATTTTTCTCTCCAATAATAGTAAAGACCCTTTATATATTATGAACGGTATGAGTGTCAAGGGTCTGGGTCATTTCTTAGGGGGAAACGGTTGTGTCAAAACCAAGTTTCTGATCTCTTTGATACCCTGATGTCCATCTCCAACTCATTTCACAATATCTGACCTATGTTCAACTAGTCAAGGTCCTACCACCATTGCTACCACAAAATAGTTATGTAATAGGTATATCATCCAATGAATATTAATAGACTGCATCGTGGTGCCTGCAGCTGACAGAGATATAGCTCAAAATATAGCTCCTCTTGGAACAAACACTGTCGCAAGTTTGTCATCACAAGGATTGTCAACATTGATAGATGATGTCTGTTTGGAGCCTGAAGGGCTTTGCCAAGTTATGCATATACTTAAATAAAGAAGGAACGCCCTTTGGAGTCTGAACAATTTAATTTTAATGTCTTACCGTTGTTATTATTATTATTACGTATATCAACTAGAGCTATAAAAATGACAGCTGTTTAAATATGACATTAGTTATAGATTGTCGATATCAGTGAGGGGACATGTGGATCGTGCTACAGCACACTTATTCAGAACATGCTCAATGGTCTGACTGTTACCGCATGGGCACAGGCTTGAGTCTTTGAGAAATTTTTGAATAATGTATCATTTATCTGTGATTTTTTATAACAATCATAACATATATGTGCTCTTCATGTTGAAATATTTTGTTGTGTATTCTAAGACACTGTATGGTCCTTATGTTTTCAGGGTACAGCAGTGTTTTGGTACAACCTGCGTAAGAGCGGACAGGGTAACTATGATACAAGACATGCAGCATGCCCAGTACTGTCTGGCTCAAAGTGGGGTAAGTCTCAAACCTTCCTCGTTCTCCTTTTTGTGGTTTGGCTCAATAACTTTGGATTCAGTGCCCTAAGAAATACGCCAGATGCAGCATCGGTAGAAAAGCAATCATTTCTGCACACACTGCATCCATTTTTTGTTTCATGAGTATATTGGGTTCGATGCCAGGGATTTAAAAAAGGAAAGCAAGCTTAACCCTAATAAGGCCGGGCTATTTGAAGTCTTACTACGGCCGGGGGGGGGGGGGGGGGGGGGGCATTATGGCCCCCCCCTAAGATCTCGGCCGTGAAACGGCCGATCTCCGCGAAAATTTGCACGCATGTCAAGTGAAGTGTATAGAACAATATGATAATTTCAATTTTTTGAAAAAAATCCCTCATTTGCATATTTATGGTAATTTATGCAAATAACGTCACAAAATCACATTTTTACCCATAAATCCTATATTATTCATATTTAAGCATTCTTTTTCACTACATATATTCATTAGACCATTTGGAACAATAATACGACAAAAAAAATTGGAAGAGCCAGCTTATTCCTTATGTTATCTCTTGTTTTGATAATTTCTTATGTATTTCATTGTTTTTTAAACTTATTTATGTTATTGTTTTTTTTCATTTCTTCCTACAATTCAACTATTTTGACTCCCAAAACAACCACCTAAACTTTAAACAAGACCCAATAACCAATGTTTGATCTATTTTTAGGAAAAATGACATTTCCATATGTTTTGTACACAAATCACAAAAATGAGCGATTTTTGGGCTGACATGCAAAGACAAAAGGTCACGTGACCTTGTAACTATAGGTCCGATTTTTTTTTTTTTTTTTTTTAAAGATGCGCAAGACTCTAAAGAAAAAAGTCAGCGAGCGGCGAGGCGCCATCCATATGCATTCTCGAACAATCAGAAAAATCGTGGAGGGGGGGGGGCCATAATGGCCCCCCCCCCCCGGCCTTATTAGCGTTAAAAGTGATTCAGTAACATTGTTGAAGGTTGACGAAAAAACTGCGTAATTTTTGTATGCAATGTTACTTATTATCCCCTCGCCGACGAAGTTGGAGTGGATATAGTAACGCTGCCGTCCGTCCGTCCGTTTGTAACAAATTTGGTTTCCGATTGATAACTTCAGTAATGTTTGACGGATTCTAATGAAATTTGATATGAAGGTACATGATATCGAAATACAGTCTAAGTTTGATTTTGGAGTACGTAGGTGAAAGGTGAAAGGTCATAGCTCATTAAATATGCGAATCTGGTTTCCATTCGATAACTTAAGTAATGTTTGACGAATTTTAATGAAATTTGTTGTGAAGGTACATGGTATCAAAACACAGCCTAAGTTCGATTTCGGAGTATGTAGGTCAAAGGTCATAGCTCATTAAAAATGGGAATCTGGTTTCCATTCGATAACTTGAGTAATGTTTGACAATTTTTAATGAAATTCGATGTGAAGGTTCATGGTATCAAAACACAGCCTACGTTCAATTTCCGAGTATTTAGGTCAAAGGTGAAAGCACATAGCTCATTAAATATGCAAAAACACCTAATTATATATGTGAAAATGTGGTTAATTTCTTTGCCTAGTAATATAATAGTATAGTCCAATGGAGGTAACTTGTTCTGACGTATATAGGCCATTTGTACCTTGCGAGAGGATGCTACGCTTTGCGTTGACTTGTTATATCCTTTTACTGTTCTAACCCTCTAAGATGCAAAAAATCCAGGGAAAAATTTCAAACTGCTTAGATATTTATGGTTTTGTTTGAAGGCGTCACTGTGCAACACCCTCTAACAGTAAATTCTCCCAACAATGTTTAAATTCTCCCAACTTTTTTTCCATGAAAATAAGACGTACCAGTAAGACAGCCTTTAAAAAACCTTTCAACACTTAAATGTCTGGAATGGAATATAGAGCCAACTCATTGCTTTGTGATGCTTTACATTCACCTAAAATGTAACAAAATTGTAATAATGTAGTTGGGAGAATCAAGAAATCGATCAGATCAGTTTTTCTCAATTGTTATCATTAATAATAGTCTGTTTTCACTCAAACTTTCAGATTATCTTTAATTGTTTATCTAGCATTGAAGGTTCTACTTCGCCCCATTTTCTCTCATCTTAACAATATTACCAAGTCCCTTTAAAATCCTTAAAACGGCACCAGTTGAGACTTGAGAGATTCAAATTTCCATACAAATTGGCAATTTGTTCAACTTTTCAACAGCACTTTTGCCCATGTATATTGTTTTTGAGAAATATTATTGTTCCCAATTTGAAGAACACTATGCAATTAATTTAGCCCTGAAAGGGTTAACATTCAAATCTGTGAAGAGCTACATTGTTCGTTGTTTTTTAACTCAGTGTTATTGTGTCATCAGATTACTTTTACGTTCATAAGAATGGGGTCATATGAACTTTTGTTCTAGCGGAAGATGGTTTCAATATACGTTGGCTTTTGGTCTATGGAAGATGTTGTATCCCTCAAGAAGTTTAAGAAATAGAAAAGAACTGGTTTATAAATTAATTCAATTTTATGGTCACAAGTGCAAAAGAGATATAATAACAAATTCTTAGGTTGGGGTCTGTTGATGGCAAATTCATATTTCCTAATTAAACAAGTTTATGAAATAATTTGATTCTTTAATCTATGCCATTTGTTTCCCTTTTTTATTTCTTGCAGTTGCGAACATCTGGATTCATGAATTGGGACAGGAATTCAAACGAAAGTGTGGATTAAGTGCCAGTGAATAGTAGAAGGAGAGAATGGGGAACATGTTTCGCTGCCATGGAGATAGATACTAGCCAAAATGCTTGCTTTCATTTTTTTTTCTAACTTTAGTTTTCTCATCCTCATTATTGATAAGTCAAGGTCATATCTGCCAATATTCATATGCTTTTATAGAAATTTGACAGTGCCCTAAGCTTACGAGGCTTGGGTGTATTTTTTGTGAAAAATGTTAAAACTATGCACTTTATCATACATCCTTCCCTGAAACAGAAGTAGTATTTTTTGTATTTTGTCTAGTCATGTAATTTATATATGTTTCTTTTTCAAACATAGTATTAAACAGAGCTTTGAAATAATTGGGTAAAAAATGTAAGAACTGACATTTTTTTCAATGATTATGAGTTTGCATTGCAAAATTTTTACAAAAACTGAATCATGAACAAAAATTACATGATATACATACGTTCAAATATTTTCTTCCGGTTAACCAGTGATATATTTACTTAACCCTATCACAAGTCTGTGACTCTTGGTCTTGTTACTGTTTTCTTATACCCTTCTGCCTCTAAACAGATGATTTGATTTGCTATCTTACCTGTTAATTGGACACATGACTAGATGTTTTGAATCTGTAGAATTAATAGTAGATGTTACATTTAATTTCACCTGTTTGAAATGCCCACCCCTACACAAACATTGTTATGTGTGTGTATCATGTACCAGATTCATGAACATCGATCTCATCAGAGATGCACTTTCAAAAATTGAAAAGTATGGAAAGTGGTCCTCCACTATCTTTTGTTATGTTATTTTAATTGTGAACTGCTATGCAAGGAAAATGTCTTCCAGTTTCAACCACTATGATAATGCTACAAAAATATTGTTAAACTTGGGAGGGCATTTGATAATATTGTGTCTAGCTTCCCTAAATATAAGGTTGGGGATGGTCCGCTTATTATCTGAAGATTGGTGCCTACGAGTTTCTTTTGTAAACTGTAGTGGTGGTCTAGAGAGGCAATGGATTATGGTTAATTTTGTAGTTGCTATTTACTAAATGGCATTAAAGAGAAGATTGAGTTCTGGGAAGAGAATAATTTGTGAGCGTTATCATTGTTATTATGCAAGTGTGGAAGAACATCAGATTAAAAATGTTCCCTGAAAAGCATGGTTCTTCAGATGCCTTAATATTTTAAATATGGAATGTAACAGCCCACAAAGCGGGACAGATTTTTACACCACATGTCTGTGTAGTCCCATATACATCTTTCTGTGAACAGTGCTTGTAACTTTACCAAGACTGGGCCAAATTTCTCATCATATTGATGATTCCAGAAGCTTGCAGTACACACCAATACTTATATGCTAGATGATCAACCTTTTCTGATCGATTCCACACTGTTTCTTTCACAATGCAATTGCACGACCAGAACTCAACTTTATCTTTAAAACTAAAAAAATACTTCATAAGCTGTTTATTTTTCTAAATTTTGCTTCACCATCTGATGCAAAATTATTATCAATGTTACTAGATTTTAGTACATACCTCAAATGTTCATCGCTACTTTTATACATGTATTTGTGGAACGTTTTATATGGGGTGTCTGGTGTTGAATGGTGAAATTGCATTTAGCCAGCCATGTTCGTTTAAACTGTTTAGTTTACAAGTTTTAGAATTCCCCTGAATGGGGCTCTCCCCCCCCCCCTTTTTTTGTTTGTTTACAGCTGATGATAATTTTGTGAATACCTTCCAGAATATGATTATGTTGGTTTGATTGGGAATATAGAAATGAGCCACCGTATTTCAGATGATTATCTCATTGCCAGAGTAACATGTACACATGTACCTGATTGCTTGCTGGAAGCAAATAGCAATGTAAATATGCAACATGAATGTGAAGGTGTGAATTCTAGGCAAAACGTTGAGATATGGCATCAATTTAGAAGACACTGCCATGGATTGATGAATACCCGACAGGTGTGCAAATCGATGTGAGGAAGATTTTGTTTTAATTGGATGTACATGTATATGGTTATTTCAGTTCTTATGAGACAGTGGTGCAAGTGTAGTTCATACTTCATCATCATTGGAAACTTGTCATTTAGTATGCTATCAATACCATTCGACAAAAAGCTAGAAATTAGTAACACAACCTTCAGAGATCCTTTGCTTAGTTTACATAATTCTTAGTCTAGCTGTCTCTGGGCTTTTTTTAAATCCATTCTCCCCTGCAAGTATATTCATTGTCACTACAAAAACCAGCCAGTGTTTATTCTGTAGTGAAGGGGCCCTAAATGTTATAATTGTGTGATTAATAGTACTTGAAAACAGGATCTAAATGTATAAAGATGGTGCTTTTTGTTGTAATGACAGCTTTCTGTATAGCAGTAATAACATTACATATATGACCTATGTGTATACTGCCAGTTTGTCATCCTTGTGAAATTCTTGGATTATACCTCAAATATCATTTCCTTCAATAGTTGGACAATCATGTAGACATTAGGTAATTGTTCTGGACAATTATGCAGATTGTGACAGAGTGTGTTTTTTTTCTTCAGTTGAATGTGTTCCCCCAGATTTTTTTGTGTAAAAATCACCAATTATATTCGCTACAAAAAAAAGAAAAGAGCTGATTAAATGAGTAAAATAAGAACATGTTGGTTTCCATTCTGCTAGTGTTCTCCTTTGCATGGGAAAATAGATTTTACGTTTTCAGTTTGTTCAGTTAGATTGGGATATTTGAAGTAAGAGGATGGCAATCACAATGAAAGTTGGATGATGAGCATCATAAGAAGAATGATAAGGGAAAGGAGGAGAAAGATGGTGGTTGTGGTGGCGGGTTGATGAACAGGAAGAAGAAGAATGATGGGAACATGAGGATGAATGCAAAGACGGTGTGGTGATAAGGAGGGGGAGAAGGATGAAGAAAATTAAGAGAGGAATAGGATGAGGAAGATTTAAAGGTAATACAAAGTTTTGGTATGGGGTCATGAATTTGGTTTAAATGAAAATATTTGAAGCATATGCGATCCTACAATATTCAGTGACCGTTGTTCCGGTTGAAATCGAGTCTAAAGTTATGAAATTGTAAATAATTAACTCTTTATGTTGTATAGCTCCCTCTCAAGGTCAATATATTCATTTAGCTAAGAAACAATGTTTCTTGACTTAAATCGACCAATTGGCTATTCCCATTTGGAAATTATATATTACAACTGCATATTCTGAGATTTTCATGGTCGCAATTACCATAGTACGGCCGTATGCGCTATTTGAAATTTATCCAAATTTACCGGGAGCACCGGTAAATTTTTATATTCAATTTTTCTCGAAAGCAGAAGTGTTTTAGGGGCTAAATTTTCTAGTGCTTATAATAAATCCACAGGGGCATCCAAATATATAAAAATTGTAAAGAATCACTATCCACCCAATTTTCAAAATTTCCCAAAACTTTGTATTACCTTTAAGGGAGGTGATGAGGGTGGTGATCTGATGTGAATACGGGTGATGAGAATGGGGAGGTCGGAAAATAATGTGGGCAAAGAGAATGCCGAGGAAGATAATGACGTTGGTTTGATGATGTATTGATATAATATAGTGATGACGATGTGATGAGGAAGAGGAGGAGGATGCTGGTGACAATCAGGATAGGAATGGGGAAGATAACGGGGGAAATAATTATTGGAATGGTGATAGTGGTAATGGTGTATTGTTTACTTTTTCATTCATTTATATGCTGGTATAACTAAGGTGATGGCTCTTGTTTATTCAATATCATTATTTCTATAAAAAAAAAATCAACCTAAGGCATTAAGTATGCTCATTGATAGACATGCTTAAAGTCTGAATAAGTTGAAAATGTGCCTTTTGAAAAGATTCTATACTTTTTACCAGACCAATCCATGCTATTTTATAAAATACAAAATGAAAAGGAGACCGAATGTCACAAAAATCACAGACATACAGCTTCACCTAAACAGGTCTATCATCAGCTTTATAATCGGACAACTAAATTAAACTTCCATGATTATCATCAATTGGTACATCTTAGCCTGTTATTAAAGAATGCACAGACACAAAACTGATTTGGTTGTTTCTAAAAATTTAGCGACAACCTTTTGATGTCTAGACGAACAACTTACAAAAGTAAAACGTAACAGAAGCCCAGCCTCCCATATCTGATAATTAAAAGGCTTCATCAAATTCATCAAGAAGAATAATGGTTGGGAGTCTTGGCGGAAGCTGGAGAAAGTATACACCACATAATGTTTATGACAAACAATAACCAATTATCACAAAATCCTTTAGAAGAATGTGATTTTAAATGAATTAGATGTTTGTTCTTTCCGTGGAAATCCTATCTCCCTTCTTTATTCTTTTTGTTGGATAATTTCTGCGCTCTATAAATGTATATTATTATTATTTTTCCCACCTCCATCTATCCACCCCATTCCGTATTTCCTCTCCCTCTGGGTATCTTCCCTCCTCTTTTTCTCTCCACCCCCCCCCCCCCCCCCCCCTCTCTCTCTCTCTCTCTCTTACTCGGAGGCTGACTCCCTAGCTTTCATCAGTATTATATTTTACTTCTTTTTCAATAACATGGCTTCAAGTGATGAGAAAGAAGATACCAGTGAATGTGGTAATAAAATGTGGTATATTGCAGCAGAATAAATGCTTTTTGAACAGTCTCAAGGTTTACCTCGCCAAAACGTCATGTTTTAATTTAAATGAGAGGCTTATGCATCGGCATATCATATTTGTTCGACTTGGTTAACCGGACAAAGCTTTTTTTTTATTCAATTGGAGCCAAGAAAATCTCCCAATATAAAAAAGAACTATTTGAACTGCATAAGTTTTCATTTCATCTTTCAAAAGAACGATTGACAATGATACAAATCGCAAATATTCATGGTATTTAGTGCCACTTGATGGATATTCGTAAAACCCAACAACAAACATACTCAATGCTTTAATTTTTGTTGTCGTCCAGACATCCAACTCAATTCCTACGTCTATAAAATTAACAATTGGGTGTCCAGTGGATCAGAGACTCCACTGACCAAATTGCTTTTATTCATTCAAAATTCAGTCTGGGATATCCTGTAGCATTCTTCATGGAGACCAACGAAAGAAGCCATTGAAGTGATCAGTTAGGAGCCGGAGGTGGTATCATATAGGTGTAAATGAGAGTATTATATAATGGGAATGGTGGATTGGGGCCAGGATATAGGCCTATATCCTTGGACTGGGGCTGGGAACAAGGGGTAGAGACTGAAATGAATTAGCATTGGCCCCAACTTGACAACTCATTCAAAAACTGCTCGGTTGGACGTTAATTTGTTTGTTGTTGTTATATGTACTTTGAATGCCCTGCATTTTCCCATAAAATGGAATCTGTCCTGATGGGTCATTGTATCTTCTCCTTTGTTGTGCAAGTTTCAACAATAAAGTGATGTTTAAATTTTTTCAAATGGTTCAGTACGTACTGAGAGATTATTATTGTAGAGATCACTTTGCTTAGAAACTGATAGACTTGTATTGGAAAAATCATTTTCAAGGAGTTTTTCAGCCAATGGTGGATGATAAATAAGTGTTTTTTCCTTGCCATAACTGGGAACGCTTGAACTCGCAATCAGTTAGAAGTAAATGATATATAGATGGAACAAAAAAGGAGTTCTTGAACTCTTATTATGTCTTGGTTTCTGTCAAACCAGTAACAATTTTGAAGAACATTATTTTGTACTACAGTCTCAGTTTACATGTCCTGGATGGATCACGGTGTCCGTTCCTTGGTTTCTTTTTGTTTTTTCATGGACTTCTTCCGCAAATAATGTTATAATGTTTTATCATGTTTGAGGAAATATGGACAGTTTATCATTTCGTTTTTGAAAATAACAATTTATATATATGTTTTTGCTTATATATGATTCATTGTCAGAAAAAAAATACTTATTGTACCTTACATTATTATTGTTATCGAAAAACTGTATGTTTACATGAAGAAAATAAAATTAAAAAAAAAAAAAAAATGGTTGTACCATGGAGCTAGTACAAGAGATAGCAATTAATGTGGTTGTATATCCCTCGCCAAACTCGAGAGGGATGCACGCGTGAGCGCGTCACGTCACTCCAGCTCCAGTACATCCGTGGTTACCTACACGCAGTGTATCATTGGAAACTCGTCCCTTGGTCTCGGAACGCTTGGACTGATCGAGGGATGCACTTCGTGCACAAACTTCCACAAACTAAACCACTTTCTTTCTGAATATAATTTGGATGATTACCTTGACGTCATTTACAAGATCTACTTGACAAAATGTCGCAGAAAACACCAACGAGGGATCGGAAATCCGTGAGCAAAAATGTTACGCTCGTTCCGGACTCTATCGCCATTGTCTTCTCGCCCGTCCCGCCGAAACCCACGGCGGGTGGAGAGACCGACGCCTCGGCAGCTACCACCTCTCATCACCGGCACACGGCTAGGAACGGGAAGGAACTTTTCAAGGAGTTACAACGGGAAAATAAGCACAGTGTTTGGAATAAAACGTTAGCAGAAAGCATTCGAGGTCTTTGTCTTGTCGGAACTTTGGAGCCATGGACTATTCTTGTGAGGGGAGATGAAGAGCAGTTGGATTGTCTTCGCTCGGCTTATGCCAGAAGAGTTCTCAAACCTCCAAGAAATTTCACCATCTCTAATCTAGGTAAGCTCTTATTTATCCAAAAATATTTAAAGGAAAATGCCACAGTTTGAGCTAGACAGAAGGAATGGAAAGGTGAAAAGTGAAGTGAGAAGAGAAGAAAGAGATAACAAATGTATAGAAAGAGAGAGAGAGAGAGAGAGAGAGAGAGAGAGAGAGAGAGCGAGAGAGAGAGAGAGAGAGAGAGAGAGAGAGAGAGAGAGGGGGGGGGGGGGGGGGTCGGGGTCATTAAATTCAAGTAAAAATGAAAGTGCAATATATTCAAAAAACATCTTCATCTTACCTATCATACAATTTAAAGATACAATCACTACTTCAAAGTTCAAACACATCTTTACACAATTTTTTTCTCCCAAATTTAAACCTGTTTTCCAGGTGGAGAACCACAGATAATATTTCAAATATGCAGAAAGATAAAAAAACAAACACTGTTACTGTTACAGATATTGTAGTTTTCTTTTTTTTAAGACTCTTTCACATCTAAATACTCTGCTCTGCCTTGCTTTTCTTTCTGGGATGTTGGCCTAAATAGAACTTTAGGTATTAAAACCTAAAATCAAATCAAATAGTCAGTCTTATAGCAAAATACAGTGCATTGTATTGAACATCTCTGTGACTTTCTTTACATTTGAAATATGTGCCTGATATGAAATCACCTCTTCTGAGTCTGACCCACAATCTGTCACTCTGACAACTCCAATATCGTCTTTAATTCCCTAAATACTATCTCAGCTCACTTCAGCGGTGTAAGATAGCCATGTCTTTGCCCTCAAAACCCTCCTGATGTTGTGAAAGGTAATCACCTTACATGTTACACCCCACTGCACCCCACCACCACCCTGCTGGGGTACATACTGCGCCCCTCTGCTGGAGCCCCAATTATAACATTAAAACCTTCCCATCTCAAATTGCTGCCTCAGTGGTATTGATGTCAGCCAGCCTTATTTTTCAGTAA